GGAGTCCGAGTAGTAAGTGATGAGCGATTTGCGTCTGCGCTGCGACTGTCGTCGTTTCGAACGACGCCGTTGTGACTGTCGTCTCGACGTCGTCAGGAAGGCGTTGTTTATGGGACTGCGGGAGAGAGTGTTATTGTTGTGGTGGGCGTGACGTAACGATGGCTCACCTGATGGTGTAGGGGGGCAGAGGGGGCGTGGCTAAGGAGGTAAACACACACATTAGTCACGAGTTTCGGGAGTTTTTCTATACTTTTGTCGTTTTGTTGTTTTGCTTTGAGTTTTCGTTTTCGCAAATAAATGCCCAAAAATATGAGAACGAGAGAAATGAGGATTAAATGCACGAACGCTTCGATGATTTGGATGTTGGCGACGAAGGCCGCGGTCTGGCCTTCAGACAGAGTCACGTGGGTTTGGATGAGTTGGAAGAGGAAGGCGTTGGACTCTTGCGCGAGAATTGCGTCCAATTTGGGAACGATTTCGAGGAAAACACAAATAATGAGGAAATTGTAGAAAAACTCGTTTTTAACTTTTGTTTTCATTTAGTTTTTCATAAATTTTTCGCGGCTTTAACACTAGTTTTACCTCTGTTTCAACTGCTTTTACTCGTCGGTAACGTGCGGTGTCTTCAGCTCGTGAACAGCGGCGATTAACAGCAATAACTGAATCCACAATAAGAAGAGGAGAACCGCTTTCAAAGACATTGTCTCCTCAGACGTCCATTGCGTGCAACCGTTGCCACAAATTACGTCCTGAATAGAGTGTTTTGCTGCATTAAGCACTCGCAAACTCATTTGTCACTTAGCGACAAGCCGGCGTTTCTACCGTTTGTATCGCAGCGTTGCCTAAGTCGCGCTCAAGGTCCTTCACCACGCTTCGCTTCTCCACCGGTTTAGACTGATCGCCATCGAGCTCGTCAACAACTCCCTGCTGGACCTGAGGGGGCGCATCACGGGTCCGCCCGACACCCCCTACGAGGGCGGCCTCTTCCACCTCGAGATCAAGGGTGAGCGCGGATTGCGTCAGAGTTGCGTCACTCTCTCTATTGTTGTTGCAGTGCCCGAGACGTACCCCTTCAACCCGCCCAAAGTGCGCTTCGTGACCAAAGTGTGGCACCCCAACATCTCCTCCGTCACGGGCGCCATCTGTCTGGACATCCTCAAGGACCAGTGGGCGGCCGCCATGACCATCAGGACTGTCCTCCTGTCACTGCAGGCGCTCCTCGCCGGTACTATTCAATTCCACGTGACTCTGTCTCTGTGTCTAACACTCTAACACTCTTACACAGCGGCGGAGGCGGACGACCCGCAGGACGCGGTGGTGGCGAAGCAGTACAAGGAGAACCCGGAGCTGTTCCGGCAGACGGCGCGGCACTGGACGTACATGTACGCGTCGGGGCGGCGCGAGGACAGAGGCCATTGTCAGGACTTCGACGCGAAGATCCGCCGCCTGCAGGAAGTGATGCGCATCGACGAACACAAGGCGCTCGTCGCGCTCTCGTCCAACAACTGGGAGTTGGAGCGCGCCACACAAGCGCTGTTGCCCTGATTTTCTAATAAATGTTTTATTGTTTACGTGACGTCACTCTTCGCTGTCCAGCAATGCGTGTCGCGAGAGTCCAGAAGCAGTGCGAACGCCGCCATCTGACGGCCGCGTTCACGGGAATCGCGTTCTGCTTGTCTTGAAAACGAATGACCGCCAGATCTATGACTTTGAAGGCTTGCGATTTGTGGCCGAAACCCGAAGACGCGCATGCGCAAAAGCTCGCGGATGTCTTTGCGTTCACAGAATGCCGCGCAGAGAGTTAATTGTTGTCAGAGTTTTGAATCGGATTTACGTTTCCGTCGAAGAAATCGTTGAAATCGAGAAGATTGCGGTAAAAGTATTGTTCGCACGGAATATACATTGGATTTGCTGGGAAATGGAACAGCGGCGAACAGCGGCAGCAGCAGGTAGAACAGCACGAGCCCACACACGGCCAACCATCACGGCTCGCGACCAGAGTCTGCGCCGAACACGCGGAAAACACGCGCCGAGAGTGAGTCCGCGCGCGAAGAGCGCGTGTGTTCGTTCGTGACGTCAATGAGCGCCGAATGGAAGCGAAGTTCGGAAACAAAACACGAAACAGTGTTTTCCCGAAACGAGAACTCAGAGTTGTTGCGTAATTGTTGTCAGAGTTTTGAATCGGATTTACGTTTCCGTCGAAGAAATCGTTGAAATAGAGAAGATTGCGGTAAAAGTATTGTTGCTGGAAAATGGGTCCCGAGCCCAACAGCGGCAGCAGCAGGTAGAACAGCACGAGCCCACACGGCGTGTAGCGCAACCATCGCAACGCCAGGAACGCGAACCAATCGAAGCGCCTCTTCGTGCGTGACGTCACGTCGAGAGTGACGTAAGCGGCGGTCACTCCGGGAGAGAAGATGGGATTTGCGGGAACGGTAAGGGAATTACCCGAGGAAGAGGAAAGTGTCCACCTGGAGGAAAGAACCCATTTTCAAGGGTTGATATTGGATGTGCGCGAGTCTCGGCATCTCTGCCACCAGACGGCGCATCACGTGGAAGATGTGGAAGAATTGCATCAAATAGACGTGACCGACGAGGATCCAGAGGATGGCCAGAACGCGCATCCCGTGAACGGCGGACAGAGCGCGCGTTTTGGTGTTCTTTTCGAACAGTTTTCTCCAATTTCTGGAAATCAAAAAACAAATAATAAATCGGTTTTCTTCCAAAGCCATTGTTGCCGCGAGAGAGCGAAGAGAGGACAGCGATGCCATTTGCGCGGTCGTGATTGGAGGGCGCGAATCACGTGACACGAATTCGAGTCTTGCGTTCGATCACTGAATGGAAACTCGAATTCAAGTTCGAAGAAGAAAAGAGAACTCACGGCTCGCGACCAGAGTCGCGCCGAACACGCGGAAAACACGCGCCGAGAGTGAGTCCGCGCGAGATGTAGAAGAGGTTGGCGTTGCGGGCGAAGCGCGCGAAGAGCGTGTCGTCGAGTGTAGTGTTCGTGACGTCAATGAGCGCCGAATGGAAGCGAAGTTCGGTTTCGGAAGTGTTTCGCGATTTCGGAAACAAAACAGTGTTTTCCCGAAACGAGAACTCGTTCTGCGCGCGACTTATTTGAAGGCCGAAATCGGTAATCTCGAGAATAAGAATCGGAAAACGAGTTTTAGATTCGAATTTTTCAGTACTTTATAAATATTTCCCGAAATTAAAGGAAAAATGTTTTTAAAATTGATTCAAAAAATTGCGAAAAAATTCAATACGTCAATGAGCGCCGAATGGAAGCGAAGTTCGGTTTCGGAAGTGTTTCGCGATTTCGGAAACAAAACAGTGTTTTCCCGAAACGAGAACTCGTTCTGCGCGCGACTTATTTGAAGGCCGAAATCGGCGTCGAGAAGAGCCGCAAACGGGAATCGCGCGAAGAGTCCACAAAAGCGCAGAAGCAGTGGTCAGCAGTGGTCAGTGATGTCACGTGACGTCTGAACGCCTTTTGGCGAAAAGAGTCTGAAATCGAAGCAAAGTTTGCAAACATTGAAATCTCGAGAATAAGAATCGGAAAACGAGTTTTAGATTCGAATTTTTCAGTACTTTATAAATATTTCCCGAAATTAAAGGAAAAATGTTTTTAAAATTGATTCAAAAAATTGCGAAAAAATTCAATAAAACAAAGAATTCAAAAGTGAATCGAATCTCAATTCTTGTCTCGCGATTCCAAAGCGATTCCAAATCAATCATTGCTTCCGAAGGAATGTCTTTTTCTTCGTTCTCTTCTTCTCTGTCTTTGTCTTCATTTTGCGTCAAAACCAATAGAAAAACGTTTAAAAACACAAAAAGCAAAACGAGTTTCAGTTTTCGTCAAAAACAAGAATTGTTTCTATTTTTATGCATTTTTCGGGAATTTTTCGTTTCATTCCTTCTCTTCTTCCAATTGTCGTCTCGTTTCCCGAATTCGGCGCTTCTTTCGTCTCTTCTGTCGAAACCGAAAGTGTTTCCATATTTCGGCCGAAAGTTTCGTTTTTATTCCGCTTTTCCGCAATTCTTCCGAAACTCGTTTCCATGTCTTCTTTTCTTCTGATTTCCATTCAAAAAATGCATTCATTTATTCCAAAGTTTTTGTTTCTCGTGTCGTCCGCGCGAGCGCTGTGTTCGCACTCTCGTCTCCTTCTGAGACTCTTCCGCCATCTCTTGACGAAAAGTGTTTCTCATTCAGCGCTCAATTCCGGACGTCATTTGTGTCGCGCAGTGTCGCCGTCTGGCGGCCAATCAAAACACTTTCCTCTCGTTTGTTGACATTTGGGCCGAATTGCTCGAAAGCAGACGACGAGAGCCACCAAAGCGTCCAATACTAGCGATGCGTTCGCGAAATCAATAGAGGATATTATGCGCGCATTTCGGCCGTCAATCACGTGATCCGCGAGAGAACCAGTCGTGCTTTTAACCACTCTTCTGGCGGTCAGCAAACCATTCATTCATCGCATTCTTCGCAGACTTTCGGCCGACAGAGGACTGCATTCCGACAGATATCACGCCATCTGTTGTGACGAAAGCGCGGAAACTGACGATTAGTGAATGAATTATTGTCTTTCAATCATTAAATCACTTGTTTTATAACTTGTCGTTAAATTCATTGACGGCTTCACTCCTGACATCTGGCGATTGATTCGCAATTCAATTGGTTTTGCATTTCAACACCAGATGTCTCTCATTGTCCACAACTGGTGTTCGACTGACGAAACATTGATTCTGTGTTTCGCACACCAGATGTCGCACTCGTACTCATTGTCCCAATAATTGTGTTTCATTTGAACGCCAAGAGTAGCGGATCTGTTGAAGAATACGTGAAGAGTCATAAAAGCCAATACTCGGGTCTAACGAAAGAATTGCCAAAAAAAATGTTCACTTATTAGCGTTAGAGCAGTGGAAGTGTTTTTAGACTTTGAAAACTTCGAGTAAATCACAAGAACTTTACATCAAATGAATTGTTAAACAGAATCCAAAATTAATGACAAAAAATCATGAATTTATTACTTATAAATGTTTTGTTTATTTAATACTAAATGCTATGAAATATGACTTATGGCTGAAAGTTATGATTTAAATGTATTTTAAATTATTGTCTTATGTGTAAACATATTATTCGGTTTCCATTCGAATCCAAGTCTTTATCCAAATCCTCTTGAGTTACGTCTCGGCTGACGACCGCCTCCGCGTCCACCGCCTCCGCGGCCGCCACGACCTCCGCCTCTATTGAACGCCACTTCTTCCTCCACCGCCGCCACCACTGCCTTCATTCTGCGATTCTTCTCTCTTTGCGCCGATTTCGCTCTCATTGTCCACAACTGGTGTTTGACTGACGAAACACTGATTCTGTGTTTCGCACATCAGATGTCGCACTCGTACTCATTGTCCCAATAATTGTTTTTCATTTAATTGACAGAAAATTATTTTTGTGAAAACAACTGTTTTTTCATTTTGTGCTCAATTTATGACAAAAAGAATTCTTTTTTCGTCTTTTGTTTCCAAAAATATATTACTTTTGAATGAAATTCAAACCATTTTTTGGAAATTTGAAACTTTTTTTCATAAATTNTGTTTTTTCATTTTGTGCTCAATTTATGACAAAAAGAATTCTTTTTTCGTCTTTTGTTTCCAAAAATATATTACTTTTGAATGAAATTCAAACCATTTTTTGGAAATTTGAAACTTTTTTTCATAAATTTTTCGCAAATTTTTTTCGTCTAAAAGTCATTGACTTTTGAGTTAAAAAATGATTAAAAGAAGACTTAATTATTTTCTCGCGAGAAATGTGTCAAAAATTGCCGAAAAAAGTTGATTTTTCGCTTCATTTGCGAAATAATTATTGAAATGAAACGAAAAATGAGTTTTAAAATCAAAACTTTGTTTAATTTCATTCGAAATCATGATTTCGTTGAAACTATTTCTGCTTTTCTTTGCGTTCACTCGAAGTGAAGACCATTTCTTTGTTCCCGTAATTCAATCCCTATTTAATTGCTTCCAATTCTAACCATTGTTTTCCTCCGCAGAGAATGTCTTCTTACGAAAGACTTCTTTGTTCTTCGCGTTTACCGAAAACCGACTCTTTTTGCGCTCAAAACTCGTCTCCGTTTTTGGTCACGAGATTTGCGCCCAAAACCCAATTCAGACGCGAAGTTCTCGTTCAACAATCGGCGCCAAACGGAATCCCGTTTCTCGCGCCGATCATGGCTTCGCCTCCCTTTCCTCCGCAACGCCTTCACAGACACTTCCATCACCACCACGACCACCAGCCCGGCCACCCCCGTCACCCCAGTCACCCTGGCCATCCCAGTCAGCGCCAGACGGACCCGAAGCGCGTGTTTGTGGTGCCGCTGGTGTCGGGCGAGAGATCACGTGATTCTGCGGTGAACTTCATTCTGGTTCCCGAAGAGCTGTTGGAAAGCTCCGCCCCTTTGGACACTCTCAGAGATAACGACGCTTTCGAGAGACGACCGAAAGAACGGCAGAAAGAAGAGGAGAAGAGGGAAGGGGAGGACAGAGAGGCCAAAAGGCCGCCGCGCCGGAAGTTCTTCACTTCGCGTTCGAAGCATTCCTCGGGCTTCAAAGAGCACTCGTCGCTGACTTCTGGCGACCGCGAGATCGCAACAATGAAAAGGCAGTGATTTGTGCCAAAAATGAAATAAAATTCACGTTTTTCGAGGAATTTCTCAAATTATATGCAAATAAGTCGTGATTTCGCGGCGAGTATTGTTGCGCTCGTGACTTCTCCCCCACTCTAATGGCCGCCAATTACTCCCTCGCGCTGTGAACACGCCTTCGCGTCACGACTTATGGCAAAGTCACGTGATTCTCGTTCGCGACTTCAATTTTGCCTCCGATTTGTCGCGAAGACAGATCTCAGACAGAGTGTCAGTGTTTTGTGCCGTTTCTCGCAATCGTTAAGAAGAGATTGAAAGCGGAGATGAATGCGCGCGCCCTCGGGCTCAATGCCAACACCAGTGCTCTCAACAATGCTCTCTGCATGCGCTGAGGCCTCTCTGGATCCGGGAGAGAGAGAGTGAGCATCAGTTGGGCTTCTGTTGGAAACAATGACCGAAAGACGGCCAGAGAGTGACGTCACAACACATCCGCGTTCTCAGTGTAGGCGTACGCGAGAGAGGAGTGGAGGGAATGCGAGGGAGAGCGAGGGAGAGAGAGTATGAGTGTGTGTGAGAGAGGGAGAGAGAGACTCATAGAGAGAGAGAGAGAGCTATGAGTGTGTGTGTGTGTGTGAGAGAGAGCTCTGATTGTTGTCTTGGATTGTGTTTCGAACTCTTTTGGATCGCAAGACGTTTGAAATGTTCGCTCAATTCTCGCTCTCGTTCCGACCTTTGGCCGCAATGTTGGACACAGTGTCGGCGCACGCGACGAACACCAGTAGTGAAGACGAGTGCAGGAGTGCCTTCACACCCATCCACACATTCCACAACAGGTTTCACAGGTGTTCTCGCGTCACGTGTTCGGTGCTGGGCTTCGGACGCCACGGAGACGGCGGCGGAGTCACGAGCGGCACGACTCTCTCCCACAAGCGGCAAACAGCGTCTCATCAACGGTATTGTCTGCGTTGGGGGCGAACTTCCGTCCGCTAACGAGTGGCGCCACGATTGGGCCGGAGCAGTCACGAGCGCTCAGCAAAATAAATAAAGAGTTTGTCCGAAGGGCGAGCGAACATAATTGTTGTGTTTTTCCACATAAAGCCTGACTTCTGTTTAAAGAGAGTTTTGCCAAAGAATGCTCTAATTATGGGTTTCGCGACCGAGAGTTCTGTTTTGGCCAAAAGGCGTTCTCACGTGGTTTCAGACACAGTATTGTTCGCAGACTTCCAGTAATGAGAATTCAAAGTTTGGAGACTTTGAGACAAACGCGCGATAATTGTTGGAAACAAAGCCCGACTTCTGTTTGTGTTTTGGGAAACAATACTGCGTTCTAGCGGCAAACAGCGTCTCATCAACGGTATTGTCTGCGTTGGGGGCGAACTTCCGTCCGCTAACGAGTGGCGCCACGAGGAGGCCGGAGCAGTCACGAGCGCTCAGCAAAATAAATAAAGAGTTTGTCGTTTGCGCCGCGAGCGCCCGATAATTGTTGTGTTTTTCCACATAAAGCCTGACTTCTGTTTAAAGAGAGTTTTGCCAAAGAATGCTCTAATTATGGGTTTCGCGACCGAGAGTTCTGTTTTGGCCAAAAGGCGTTCTCACGTGCTTTCAAACACAGTATTGTTCGCAGACTTCCAGTAATGAGAATTCAAAGTTTGGAGACTTTGAGACAAACGCGCGATAATTGTTGGAAACAAAGCCCGACTTCTGTTTGTGTTTTGGGAAACAATACTGCGTTCGCGCGAGGAATGCGCTAATTATGGGTTTGCGACCGAAGCCTGGTTTTGGCCGAAAGGCTTTCTCACGTGGTTTTGTGTCTCAGTATTGTTCGCATTCCTCGCCACAGATCAGGGGTCGAGTGTCGCTCTGAGCGCGCATTCAGTTGTTGTGAACTCGAGTTATAATCCAATGATTGAGCGGAGGATCAGTCCTTCTGAAGAAGTCTCGCGAATGACAATCAAAATCCAGTAATTGATTGCAAAACACTGTTATGTAAGCGAGCGGTGGCTGCGATTGGCTGTTGGGCGCGGAGGGGCGGGGCGTCTGGAGTGCGACTGTTTGGGAGCCAATTGGGAGCCGCAGTTGTGTTGGAGTTTTGGCAGTAGTTTTGGCTTAAGTTCGCAGTTCTGCTGCTGTTCTCCAATAGTTCACAATAACTACCAGTCATTCCTTTCGACTACTTGTTCGCAACACTCAGTATTCTCTCAGTATTGAAGACAGCGCTTCCAATGGTTCTGTCCTCCACAGCAATGACCTCTTCGTCCGACAACTCTTCGTTCGGTGAGTCTCTCGTTCTCTCTCTCTCTCCCCCTCTCCCCTCTCTCTCCACAATCTTATCGCACTCTTGTGGCGATAACTGTCGCAACTGTCGGTCCCTTTCATCACTCTTTGCCGACAAATGAGTCAATATTTTGTCGAAACTTCACACACACTTCAAAGGCCTTCACGCCGACAAACAATGCGCGCATTACTGCCTCTAATTGTCACTTAATTGCTTGGAGACGGTGTCGGGGGAGCGAAAGGCCTGTCGGGGGAGCAGAGGCTCAGACAGACAGAGCGCGAGACACTAATCCATAATTCACTGCAAAACGCAAAAAACAAGATTCCGACGTCTCCTCAGGTGTCCTCTCCTCTCGAGGATCGCCCGCTGAGACCCGATTGTTGTCGCAGTCAAGTGCACAACACGTGCGGAATCATTGCGAGAATCAAATCGCAAGAAGTTGTTTTGCAATTATGTTTGAATGCATTGCACGTGAATTATAGGTTCAGTTTTGCGCTCAACTCCCACTACTAAAGGTGTGACAGTAATGCACGAGACGTTCACTATTATTATAGACCAGGATATGCTCTCAACTCAAGGATCTTCTCTCTCTTAACAGACAAAACAATGCGTTCTCCGCTCTTCGACTCTCCGCCGCTTCCCAACCCTTCGCCGCTTCTGCTCGCGCCTCAACTCTACCCCCAATTCACGGCTCTTCACCACCACTTCCCGCTCTTCCCCCCACACCTGCTCTTCGCCCAGACCTACGCGCATTTGGCCGCCGCCAAGACAGCACCGCCGCCACCGCCCGCCACCACAACCACAACCACTCTCCTCAAGAAGAAGAGCTCCAAATTCGACTTTTCACGTCTGGCAGAGTCGGCCACCGCTGAGGAGCGGCCGCCGCCCGTCGCGGCGCCCAAACACGCGTTCCCGCAACTCATTCCCAACGCGTTCTACGCGCCGTTCGCACCGCAAACGCCGGCCGCCGCCGACTTCTTCTCCAAGAAGTACTCCCGCGTGGGAAGGGGTTCTCCGTCGCGGCGCCCAAACACGCGTTCCCGCAACTCATTCCCAACGCGTTCTACGCGCCGTTCGCACCGCAAACGCCGGCCGCCGCCGACTTCTTCTCCAAGAAGTACTCCCGCGTGGGAAGGGGTTCGTCGCGACCCAAGAAGGAGTTCATTTGCAAATACTGTCAGCGGAGGTTCACCAAAAGCTACAACCTCTTGATCCACGAGCGCACGCACACCGACGAGCGGCCCTACACTTGCGATATCTGCCAGAAGGCGTTCCGCCGTCAGGACCATCTTCGCGATCACCGGTGAGTCTCAGTATTGTTGTCTCCGTTAGGAATGTTATTATTTGCATATTCAGAGCTAAGAGTGCGTAACAATGAGTTGTGTCTGAATGTTGTGTTTGTCTGCGAGTTAATGCGATTCGAGAGTATTGTTGCGCGAAATGAGAAACGAAAAGAGTTGTGAATGAATGCATTGTTCGCGCGAATAATGATTATAGAAAACAAAGAACTCAATTGTGAACTCAATTCCTTCCTCCGTCGCGGCGCCCAAACACGCGTTCCCGCAACTCATTCCCAACGCGTTCTACGCGCCGTTCGCACCGCAAACGCCGGCCGCCGCCGACTTCTTCTCCAAGAAGTACTCCCGCGTGGGAAGGGGTTCCTCGCGACCCAAGAAGGAGTTCATTTGCAAATACTGTCAGCGGAGGTTCACCAAGAGCTACAACCTCCTGATCCACGAGCGCACGCACACCGACGAGCGGCCCTACACTTGCGATATCTGCCAGAAGGCGTTCCGCCGTCAGGACCATCTTCGCGATCACCGGTGAGTCTCTATTGTTGTCTCCGTTAGGAATGTTATTATTTGCATATTCAGAGCTAAGAGTGCGTAACAATGAGTTATGTCTGAACGTTGTGTTTGTCTGAGAGTTAATGCGATTCGAGAGTATTGTTGCGCGAAATGAGAAACGAAAAGAGTTGTGAATGAATGCATTGTTCGCGCGAATAATGATTATAGAAAACAAAGAACTCAATTGTGAACTCAATTCCTTCCAAAGATACATCCACTCGAAGGAAAAGCCGTTCAAATGCGTGGACTGCGGGAAGGGCTTCTGTCAGTCGCGAACGCTGGCCGTCCACCGCATCCTCCATCTGGACGACTCGCCGCACAAATGCCCGCAATGCGGCCGTTCCTTCAACCAGCGCTCCAACCTGAAGACGCATCTCCTCACTCACACCGACATCAAGCCCTACGAGTGCCACCACTGCCACAAAGTGTTTCGCCGCAACTGCGACCTCCGCCGCCACACTCTGACCCACAACCCCGCGGTGGAGGGCCAGTCGCAGCCGTCGTCGCCCTTCTGCGACGCCGAGTGCCGGCGTTCGCACCAAACGGAGGACGAAGACGTGTTAGACGTGGAGAACTGATGTATGAATGAATGATTGTAAATAAATGTTTGAAACAAAGACTGAACGCATTATTACTATTATCTCGCGCTCCCATTCATAAAGCACTGCAAGTCGTGATTCGCCGGAAATCACGAGCGAAACAATGAATGAAATGTGTAATTAAAGTGCAGCTGAAGTGCATTGTTGGGCAGTGAAGAGCACGAGCGCTGCGATGAGTTGAATGCGAGGCGTTTATCTCGCGATCGCAGGATTGTTGAGCGAAACCTCCCACGACTTGACTGTCAGGTAGTCTCGAGACATAAAAAACAGTGAATTTCTGGCAATTAGTGAGAAATCGATTCAAAGAGTCGTAAAAACGCTCTTCTTATGTGGTCTGCCATAAAGCCTATGAGACAGCTGTCCCGATGGGTCACGTGGTCAGTGACCGCGACAGGAATGCAGTGATCGAGTGATAAGCGTTTGCATATAAAAAGTGTCATCTCTGCAGCGATAAAAGTGGATGTTTTGCAGACATAGCGCACGGCTTATAAACAGAACCATAAAATAAACACTTTTTATGACATAATAGCGAAACCCATATTAAACACCATTTGTTAACGCGCGCACCCCTTCGCTCCCCCCTCTCATCATAAGTGAGTGAAAAGTGTTGCCAATTGCCAGCTATTGTTGGCGCGTGTCTTGCATTGGGTGTGCCGTCGAAGCGGATCTCTGACCGCACCCAACGAAGTAATCGATAATCGATGCGCGAGATAATCGATTTCCGTCTGTTTTATATAACTTTTCATTAGTTTTCATTCGTTTCTCAAGTTTCGCACAAAAAGAGTCTTTCATTCGGAGTTGGGTTTCAATGCAAACAAATCGCGAGTCAATAATCGAGTCTTTGTTTTATTTTCAACATTTCAAAGAAAACACTTTCAAAGCGTTAAAAGTCGTGTTCAGAGCGACGTCTTCTGCGCCGGAGTTCATGAGCGCAGAGACGCTCTCCAGAGTGGCGGCCAGAGAGCACGGCTCGTTCCGCTGGAACGTACAGTACCTGCGAGACAGTGGGGGTCAGTGCGGGCGCGACAGCGACAGAGACAGGGGTCAGGCATACGCACCGGTTCAGGAATCCCAGCGAACGGCGTTTCAGCGTCTGTTCAGCCGCCTTCACGTTAGGATAGGCGTAGGGGCTGTCGGAGTAGAGCACTGCCAGAGGGAGAGAGAGAGAGGGCTCGAGTTGAGTCTCGAGCGCGACTCGAGTTTTGGTGCAATACTCACGCAAACGATTCAAAGGCAGAGTTTTGTCTCTCAAAGCGCTGCGAACGCCATCTTCCGTCTTGTCTTTGAGAACCAGACCTAAAGCACAACAAGTGATGAGAGAACGCGAGACTCACTGCCACTGACCCGACACAGCGATGTAAGCGCCGCGTTGCAGGTATTCCGTCACGTGATCGCGGCTTCCGCGCAATTGCATCACAATTTGCGCCGAAGAGTACGCGCGCAGAAGAGTTGCGCTGCGGGAGAGAGAGAGAGAGAGAGAGAGAGGGCAGAGAGTGAGAGGGGGAGAGAACAGGTAGACGCGGAGAGACTGACCACTCGGAGTGGGCGTTCACTTCCCGGACGAGAACGGGTTTAACGATGTTGTCGCTGAGCGCGAGATGTGTCGCCATTTGCAACTGTTTCTCAAACACCTGGAGTTGCGTTTGTTTTGGGGAAAAGTCGCGCGAGAAGTCGACTCCAGTTTCGCCGAAAGCCACGCATTCCGGGCTTCGGATCACTTCTAGAGCGGAACAAAGTGTGAGTCAATGGAAGCCAATGAGAGAGACACAGACCGAGAATCTCGCGCTCGGAGTCCGGCGTCCAGAGACGGCTCTCGTGAGCGCTCAGCCCTAGGAATGAATGCGAGAGTGAGAGCGGAGTCACAGTCAGAGAGAGAGAGACCTGAAGAGCAGAAGAGTGTTTCTGAAAGGAAACCATTGTTAGCGCGAGAAGTGAATGAGAGGCGGAATACCCGGATAGAGACGACACAAACGCAACGCCTCGCGACTCGAGTGGACAGAAGTCGCGCGACTTATGATCTTCTGAACGCCTTTTGGGACACAAGTGTTAAATGCGAGCAATAATGAGAGAGAGCGAGACCTGAGCTCTTGGCGCGCGTCACAACCGCATCGATATCTTTGGCGAACTTTTTCGAAGTGAGAGAAGCGCTCGAATCGACCAAAAGGTACGCAAAGTCGTCCACAACACTGTCGGCCAAACTGTTGTCCGCCATTTCCACACCACTCGCGCCCTCTC